TGCGTCTCCAGATTAGGCAGTTTCAGTTACGGTGGTTTGGGCACCGAAGTAAGGTTTATGAATGCCTACCATGAGATAGGTGAAACATCAGCCACTTGCACAAAAGAACATCCGAGGATCCTTAGGACGGCCAATAATGGTTTCAGACAAGGGAGTCAAAGGACTCTAATTCACTTCTGTCATTGACTGACTGACCTACTGAATGAATAAATGAGTGACTGATAGGAATGAGTGCCAGCTTCAAAAATACAATGTAACCGACTTTCTCTTTTGATGAAAACTTCATCAGAATCTTACGGAGGCTAGTAAATAAAATGTCACGGCGTAATATAAAAAATTTTTAACAGACTTTAATCAACAATTCCGCCGTTGCTGATCCCAAACCCTAATGAGGAATGAGATGGGTTGAGGACCGTGGCGAGATCTCAGTGAAACTGAGACACCTACTCCTCACGGTATTACCGTCATTGAATTCTATACCGGGCTACCGAGCGTCGCGTAAGCTGTTCAGTGATTCAGGCAGGCTGCGTAAAATAGGCGATCAGATCCTGCTCCTCGCCTTATGGAAACCGGGGAGGGGACAACAGTACAACAACGGCTGCCGAAGATCGGCAAAACGACAACGAAGCCCACGTCTGCAACAGAAACGCTACTCCATTGAACAAAGGAGGCACAGAGCACAATACCATTATGGCACATCAGAAAAGGCTCCACGAGAACGACACAACAGTGGAAGCTTACAATCGGAAATTGGAACATATCCTCAGTCAGAGGAAAAGAACATGAATTAGTTGATGAGGCCACAAAGTACCAACTCGACATTGTTGGACTCTCATAAACGAAACGCCAAGGCTCCGGACTCCAGAATCTCAGCGTGTGGAAGCTATTCTAATCAGATGTCACATCACGACGCGTACTCAGGCCGGTGTTGCTGTTTGGGTAGAATGGCCGATGTAGCTGAGAGAATCTTTGAAAAAAGCCCGGCAGCGTAATCAGCAATCCTCCAACTGAATATATAACAGACTGAAACTTTCACACTGCTAGAGATTTACGCGCTAAATTTTGATGGAGTGTATGAGGTCTTCCTTGAGGAAATGGGAAGTGCTCTGTACGAAATTCCGACTATGAAGTCGGTCATTCTAACAGGCGAATTCAATTCGCATATCAGAGAAGACAACGAAAAGTGGAAAGACGTGATTGTCGAGAACAGCATTAGTGACTTCAACAATAAGAGCATGAAGCTTTTGTGGTTTTATGTAACCAACAGACTGTCCGTTATCTACATTATGAACACCTTCTTCGAGCATAGAAGAGTGCATCGTTATACCTGGTACCGGGAAACATTTGTACAGAAGTCGATGATCGATTTGATAATCGTATCTTGTGACGTGAGACAGTCCGTAATGGATTTTGGGTTAAGAGAGGGGCAGAGCTCTCACACGATCATCATGTAAAGGATGGAGTACCATGCTGAAACCTAGTGCCAGGAATAACCAGAGAATCACATGTGAAACATTACTTTTAGCGGAGACGAGATAGAAATTTGCAGACAACGACATGACGGTTTTAACAGATCCCTGTAATCACCACTGATGTGGAAACTGAGCGGCAGCTCTTTAAGAGTGGCAGCCTCGAGACTGCCGCTGAATGCTGAGGATTTAAAAGGATTGGCCTGCCGCCTGGAGATCAAAAACGAACTTCCTGGTCGACCGAGAGGATTAATTGGCTTCGCCAGGAGGAAGGATGCATTCAAGAGGTGGCTTGGAAGCAAACAGCCTTCGACTAACATTTGTTATGAAGAAGCGCGCAAGACGGTAGCAAGAGCAGTAACAAAAGTCAGAAATGATTCTGGGAGAAATTCGTTGAGGTGATAGAGTCGAATTTCCAGACAGCAAGTAAGGTATTCTGGCAGATAATAGGCTCTGAGGTGAAAAGAAAGACAGTCTAAGAGTCTTGAAGGCCACTCTTACCGACATTCCTGTGAGAATAATCTTCGGTGTTGGAGAGAGTACTCTGAGGAACTGCTTAACCCGAGCAGCAAGGAACGGGCATTACTATTACATTATGAAGTCATACAAGCTGTGTAAAGCTTGTAAAGGCCGTTAGAGTTGATGAAATCCACCTTTAGATGCTGAACTTAATCATCGAACAAGAAATGTACAGAATTATGTGTTTGTCAAACTGCAGCGGCTACAGGGTAGACACTGGAGGACAGAAGACGGGGATGGAGTACCCTGTTCAAAAGGGAGATCACAAAGAATGCTCCAGTTATAGGGGCATTACCTTATAAATCCTACCAAGTGAAGTCTACGCAAAGGTGCTATAAAGGGGTGTCGCGGAATAACTAACTCCAAGATACAAGAAGAGCAGTTTGGTTTCTGGCCAGTTCGAAGCACCTCTGACCATATACTTGATCTGCGCCAGATTGTTGAGAAATCATGGGAGTACGCCCGTCCGGTTTAATGTGTTTTATTGACCTATAGAAAGCGACTAACCGATGCCGCGCAACAGTCTGTCACAATGCCTGCGAACATATGAGATTGGCGGTTAGCTGTTATGGGCCATCTCATCATCATATACTGAAATCGGGTGTTGTGTCAGAGTAAACGGTGTTAAATCGGAGCATTTCAGCCATGGCGCTGGTCTCGCCAAGGGTGTTTTGCCCCCTCCCCTGTTTGTGTTGTTCATGTGTTGAATAGTATAAGATGCAGCCAAGACAATGTACGTATTAGCGTAGAAGACATCGAGAGGAGAAGGCTGTTTGTAGACTGCCTTATTTTGCTGGCATCTTCTAAAGCTGATCTACAGCGTTCTCTGGAACGGTTTGTAGCCGCATTCGACGTGTCCGATATGCAGGTTAAAACGAAGAGCTCAGTAGTTTCTCGATTTCTTGCCTACTGATCATTTAAAATAAACGTGGAAACAGTGGAGCATGTGGAGAAGCTGAAGTACCTCGAAGTCGTGTTTACTAATAATGAAAAATTTTAGTAAGAGATCGACCGGCGAATTTGAGTAGCCAGTGGCGATCTACGTGAACTAGCCCAACCCATTGTGACTAAAACAGAGCTGAGTCTGTCAG